TTAGATTTTGATTGTTAATATTTCCATTGTAGTGTGCAATGGAAAGTTTAACTAAGCAACTGGCTCGGTATGTATATAACATTGACTTCAACAATATGCCTCTTGACCGCTTAAGTGAGCAAAAAGCCAAAAAGAAACGCAACTATAGTGAAACTGTAAAATCGAACCAACAAACAACCGAAGATGCAAAATCTAACCAATCAGATCCCTCTCGAAAGACCCAACCGAATAAAGATCAAGAAATTATCAAAACTATAACCGTGGTGAATGATCACCCTGACATGAATTCACCTAAGGGTTCCATTAAAAATCTCTCGGAATCGTCATTTGCTACTCCATTGAAACCTCAAGACAACTTTTCAAGAAATGATTTAGCTTCGATTGATGGAGATACATCGAATGTATGCAAAAGCAGCTTTGATAATGTCGAAGGATCATTTTCCTCTGCATCCACTATTGCACGCGAAAATGAATCTATTCCTATTGAAAGCTATGACAAAATCGGTAAAGTACACTCATAAGTATCATTTTCATTGGTAGTATGTAGTATATTACTGCACTTTTTATTAAAGAAAATAAAATTATTGCACATTATGATTAGAAGGATAGTAGCTGAATTATTATGTATTTATATACTAGTGTTTATCTTAATTGTGCTTATAATTTATAGAAAACACGACAACAGATGATAGCGCTAGCCAATCTAGTAGGAAGGTCTCAGTAAACACTGAAGACAATACCAGTACTGGCTCTGATAGCGAAAAGTACAGTGAAGACAGTAGTTTAAGCGCGAAAGATTCCAAAAACAATTTAGCGGAATTTTCAGATTCCAAGTTAAATGAATCTATAGGACACAAGAATACGGAATTAAATAATTTGAGTGAAACGACGGTGGACAATTTATCAAACACACAAGGAATTAACGATAACGCAAAAGTTAAGCTAGAAAATGGTTCGAATCTGTTTTAAATGGCTATATTGTATTACTATAATCGCGCTTAATCATTATCTATTATAAACCTTAATCTGACTAAATTTTATATTATTGAGTATAGTGCCCAATAAAAAAAGAAAATCACTTTCAATCCAAATTTTACGAAAAGAGCTCATCCAAGAACAAGATTCTACACCGGTTTCTCCAATAAGGTAGTACAGTAGTTATAGCTTGCTTAGCTACCCTGTGGCTAGCGATTAAATTACTTTAATGTATCAATTTTAATCATGTTTTATGTATATTAACTGATAGTTTTTTATTATATAGTCCTTCTGACCTACCCGCTCTTCCGAGCGCATCATATGATGCAAATAGTCAGTCCTTTCCTGATAATGATAATGAAATCAATCTCGAATTACTAAATCAAACTAGTTTATTAGCTGGTGGAAATAAGCCAGGTTGGTGTTCAACATCAGCTATCATTATCTATCAGCGAATACTTGGATGTCTTGGAAACATAAGCAAACTTAAAGACCCATCTGTTCACGCAATAGCTATTGATGCTCTAACAATGCTATGGTATATGCTAGTGCAGGTAAATATAGTTTACTTATGCAATTAACCTTCCTAGTATTTAAAGAACTCAGCTAAAATAAATATTGCATAGATCCGAGCAAATCAGGGTATCTCCGAAGATAATAAGACGACTCCATCAGTACCAGAATTTTTACCACCATTACGGTATTTTGTCGCCTGGCTCTTTCAAGTATGACTTTACGTGAATAAACCCTGAATCAAAAATTTTATAATTTTCCAATTTCTGTTAAGATTTTATACGAAGATTATATTTAGCTATAAATCATCTGTGAAATATATCTAAAAGCTTGTGATAATAATAATTTAGAGTTGCACGCTGGAGAAAGAATTTAAAAGTGGGCGAATGAGGGCATATGCTCTACTATCAAATATCACAGTCTGTAGACAAGATATTCCGTTATCGGACGAGTACTTGGCCCATTTTTATCGTCTTTTACATTCTGGATTGATTGGCAATGATCAAGTACGTTCTCTAAGTATCATTATGTATAGTTAATTAATAAATAAATTGCTTTCAAGGCTGCTATATCTAATGATTTATCAATCGCATGTTGCAAATCTCGTATGTTTCCTAGGATATAACTAATGTAATTGTCGCAAACTGCTACCAAATGAATTGTTATAATCTTCGTGGTTCCTCGATACTATTATTAGATTTCATACACGCAGCGTGCACTATCATTGACAGTCAAGAAATGATGGTATATAGATTGATATTATGGAAGTAGTCAGGTTATTGCTGACTTCTCATTAATATGCAATTTCAATTCGCTAGTATCCACGGTTTCAAGCTACTACCTTACTTGGTTCACTGTTACCACTTCTTGATGATTTAAACAATATGCCGATATTGCAAGCAGGTGCTCATGGGAATGATGCCCCTACCGACAGCAATACTGCAAAGGTTAATTAGAAAGGAAGATAATTTTGCGGTAGGTTAATCTTTTTTAACTTAGCTTTAATATTATTCCTTTGTCATTTCTAGGAGGAAGTTATTGAAATTTTGTTAAAGGCTGCAAAAGATGAAATTTCAAGCCATGCTAGGTAAGGCTGGCCTAACCCGTTATTTTGATCCTAAGCGTTATGAAAATTAATTTACTTTAGGACTTACACTTTAATGCCTATAATCTTTAAATACCTAGATCAATTGCATTAAATAGCGTTGGGATATATATTGTTAAAGAATTGGAAAAGGAAATTCCTAATCCTAGAATTAAAGATTGCTTTAACGTATTGTTAGCTCAACTAAAAGTAAGTGTACTGCACATCTTCATAATATACCATAAACTTTATTCCTTGCACCTAAAACAACCCTTCCTGCTTGAAGTTTTTAAATAATATTGTGGCTGCAGTGGCAATTGACAACCTACGTACGTTGTGCTATGTATACCAAAAATTGGCTAAATTTGATGAACTTATCAGTGTTAAAATAATTGAGGTTTGTCCTTTAATCCTGTTGACATTGACCAAATTAGTATCATATCACCTGAAGTATATGATATATCGTGTCATATTTAAATTTATTAGAGCCTATGCGCCAGTATTATAAAAGTGGTTGTTCCGAGACAGCGACGCTCTATGGCTTGTGATACGGTATTTGTAATATATAACTTATTAAAAATTGTGAAATTATCTAACAACTAATCATAAATTTTTACTGTAGATTTTGATTTCCTTGCTACTCTGCCTACTAGAATGGTTAATGGTTATTCCTTATGAGACAATGATTCGTCAAGATAAAAATAGAATTAGCTTATTTCAGATAGTTTCCTGCACCCTACGAGCTATTATTAAGTGTGATGATGATTCTACACGAACTGAATTGCAAGCAATAAGTGGTATGAAATTTGTAGCCGTTCGTGAACTCAGAGATGGAAACGTGCAATCTAAAAAGTCTTTAGATCAGATTGCGGAAGGTTAGTGTGTCACTACTACATTTGCGTGTATTACTTACATTTACGATTGATACCGACATAATTTGTAACATGAAATTGTAGTATGTGAATGTAGTATTAGATCTTGTTTTCAATTTTAATTGGAATTAAAACGGTTCTATTCTTTAGTTAACTATGAAAAGACTCCTGACGATACAAGTTCTAGCGACGCCGTTCTTTTAGCGGCCAAGTTTGTAAGTTTAATTAACCAAAGTTCTATCAATTGCACTTATTAAATATAGATTAAATTAGAGAGTTTTTCTCATAAATTTCATTTATTCACTCTTAGGTTATGTCTCACATCTTAAACTATCACAGTCATTTCCCATTTCGCGCCGGGGCCTCTTTGCTTGAAGGGAGAGTGAAAGAATTTGACGATGATCCTCGTCATTCAGATATTACAGATCTGTCTGCAGAACTATTAGCATCTCCAAATATTCAGGTGTCTACATGAAATAATCAATCTTTTTCTAGAGTACTTTTGATCCTAACATGAAATTTCTTGTAGTTCTTCATCTTTAACGATAGACTGATCATTACTCTTGTAGAAATACCAAAAGTGGTATGTAAAAATTATTATCTTTACTATCCTAAATACTTACTACTATTATTAGGAATAAGTAACTATAACTGCGGTAGAAATTTTATTTTAGAATATTTATTACTTCTCCGAATTTTTTTAAAGATTGAAGAACCGAACGGATTTAACAGTGAGAGAATTGTTTCAGCATCCACTAATGCAAGAGTTATTATCCGTGACATTGTTGGAAAATATATATGGGACACCAATGCACTATATAAATTGTCGGCAGGAGATTCTGTAGATTGTGCAGGTAGTTTAATACATTCGATATCTTAAATTATGTCTCTGTTTTTAATAAGTATTCGAGTGAAACATGAGGTTATATTATTGCTCATAAATTTGATAGATATGGACGATATAAAAGATTCCGAATTACAAATTAAAATAAATGACGGTACTGTCGAAGCAAAAGAAGATTCTTCTGCCATAGCGGAAAATACCTTAATAAACAATGCAGAGAATCTCGAAGAAATTGATACTGAAAGTACATTCACATCATTGCCGGAATTTGCTCTAGATATATTTCCAGAAGATGAGGACCGTCTTGATGTGGTAATATTTACTTTATACGATTTACTATCGCATTCTTCAGATGTACTCAAGATATCTATAAATGGCAAATTCTATCGCATTACAGATTCTACAACATATTGAAAATTGCAGTGACGAATGCTTTTTGCAACCGGGAACGCCAATTAATGCTCCGGTAACTAATTCTACTCAGAACATGCATGGTGACATAGACGAAGAAATGGTTTATTCTATTTCTGAGCAAATCGAATGTGAACGAGAGTATTTAAGAAAAAAGTCTGATAGCGCGTAAGTTTCGATTATGCAGACTAATACTGCAAACTTATTTTGTATGAATGAATTAATTGCATAAGTTAAACCTACAGATACAGCTTAGATATTGTAATATTGATTAACTAGGGACAAGTTTACAAAGTTACATCCGATTCCAATCAAGCAACCAAGTTCGATCTTTTATCAATGTTATTTCATCCTCAATCAATTAGGATACTTATCATGGGAAAACAGGTCAATGAAAGAAACTTAGGCATTTAATTTAATACATATATTATTAAATATTTATATATGTATACGATGAAATATTGGCTGTGCAAAAGATACTTATCGGATACCTTAAAATATTTACTAAAATAATACATACGTTATGAATAAATACGATAAATATACAATCTCACATTTAGAGCTCGTTTTGATTTGCTCAAGAAAAGTGAAATGCTGCTTCGTGAACTAAAAAACCTTGACAATCGCCACTGGTATTAATTAAATATCTGTAACGACTATGTTGCTAGCAGAATTCTACTAGGAAAGAACGTCTCATGCGTTTCTCTTTGTTTTAATCTCGCAGCCGGGAAACACATAAATTAGCTGTTATATACATTGCAAATGGCCAAGAAGATAAAAGGTCAATATTTTCCAATTTAGGTGGTAGTAAAGATTATGAAGAATTTGTAGCAGGCTTAGCATGGGAGGTAAATTTTATTAACATACATTTCTTTAATTTGTTTCAATAAGAATTAACTGGTCATCTGTGTTTATTCTGAAACCGTAATCCTAGGTGGACTTATCAACACATGTTGGGTTCTTAGGTGGTTTACAACAAAACGAATCAACCGGTACTACTGCACCATACTTTGCCACATCGACAACAGAGGTATTATTCCATGTCGCGACTCGGATGCCCTCCTCAGATGAAACTCTGAATAAGAAGGTAGTTATCGCTTGATCGGTTTAATGCTAATTTACTATTCCTAAAATTTTACTTTTCTTGCAAAGATAGAAAATTTAATGCCTTTATGTGAAATTGAATTCTTTTCCTAATTGTTAGGTGAGACATTTAGGTAACGATGAAATCCAAATAGTTTGGTCTGAGCACACAAGAGATTATCGTCGAGGCATAATCAATACTGAATTTGCGGATGTAATTATTGTAATTTACCCATTAAAAAATGGCCTATATAGAATTCAAATTGATAAAAAACCAGAGGTATAGTATCAATACAACATTTTTCTACTACTATTGTTTGTACGGCTTTGCATTATCTAAAAGTTGAAATATCTAACGATATCATAGATTCCTTTGTTTGGTCCACTATTTGATGGTGCAGTTATCAGTAAATCTATCTTACCTGTCTTAGTAAGGGCAACTGCAATAAATGCAAGTAGAGCCAAAAGATCACAATTGCCTCTTTATCGATTATTGTATCCTTTAACTATATCATGTAAAATGAAAAGATTCTATTTTAACCTCTACAATAATGCTTCTACTTCGAGTTAATAGTATGTACTATAAACAATATAATTAATAAATTTATATGTACGAAGTTGAGTTTGTAATCAGGAATCTATTACGCATATTCCTTAACTTTATTACCAGTTTTGAAGAACGCGATGGGTACATTACAAACATTGCTAAATCTTATAAGGATCTTAGAACATTTGAAAGTTTCATATGCGATGTCTTATATCCGGTTTTTCCTGAAAAAAGTAATGATGAATGTCCAGAAATTATTAAAGGTACCTCTTATTTACCTTCTTATTTTAGTTATGAGAATTGTATCGTGTATGCGTTTTGAAATAATCGAAATTTACCTAGTATGCATTGCTATTGTGTAGTTTACAAAATTGACTGCTAAAAAGATAGCTATTCTTTCTCTTATCCTACAATATGCTGTAAAGTTTGTATATGTATTTAAAAAAACTCTTCTACATGTATTTATGATGAATGACCTGCCGTTTGCTATTCCTTTCTAGAAATTGACGAACGAATCCGTGATGATAGAAGAAACAGTAGTAATTCAATGATCAAGGAAGCACAAACAACTGTGGTATAAAATATAGGATGTACTGTATATTGTAAATAGTTCGCATATTATGACATCAATACTGATGCATCGATGTAACTTGATAGATTATAATTATTAGTGAATATATCCTTACTGACGAGAAATATAGCATGGCGTCCATCTCCATTATCGATTTATATCATACAAAAGGGTTATACGCATAAATACTCTTTATTATTTTATTACTGCACCTATAGTTTTCTGTATAAGGGCACTAACCATTGATGCTACATCATTTTTGGCAATCCCGAAAATACTTAAGAATTTTCTTTCCTTAACTACTATCTAGCATTTTATATGAAGCTTAGCAGTACATACTCTACCTGACGTTATTTTGAGATAGTATTATTTAACAATTTTCAAAACTTGTGAACAAGCAATTTTACAAATTTTAATCTAGTTATCTTATGAGATTTTCTCATTCCGAATTGATTTAAAGATATTTTAAAACCCGACTACTTTTCATTTCAATCGATAACCAAGTATCCACGACTACTTCTGAATTTCTATGTATACATAGTACTTATTTTGTAAGTTTACTAGGCTAATACTCGTAAAACGACTTAGACGATATTGTCACAATAACTATGTATTGATACGTTGTAACATGAAAAAATCTATATAGAAAAATAAATCACAAAACATCGATTTACAACTATTAATTATGATGTAATATCTTCGATATTATATCGTATATGGTACAGTAGTTTGCTTTACATGTCATATAAGCTACCGTATTCTGCTTCTAGATCGAAATTTAGTTTCCATCCATAAATATAAATGTCTTAGATATTAGCATTTTATTTATGTCACTGCGCATACCCCAGTAAGTAATCTTTCAACATAGTACAGTTTTAATGGTAGCAACATGGATTCTCATGGATTCACATTAGTAAATCTATATTGCTATCTTTACATTATATCATTATCGTATTGCAAATCCATTTGCTTTAGTACCAATCTTAGACTAAGAAACGCTGTTATTGGATATGATCGATAGAGAACAGTAAACCAAATACAAAAAAATTGAAAATATAAGCTGTAATAGCTAAGAAACTCTTGTAATAAAAGAAACATGTACATGTTTGAATGCTTGATATAGGAATTAGATTAGTAACAATTAAAGAACGACAAAGACGTTTTGAATCATCTAAATACAATTGTAGCAAAGTACTAAAAGTAACAAACAAAGTAATCGAGAGAACGGTGTGGGGGAACAGGTTATTGGCTATGTCAAATACTCAATAACCTGTTCTCTCATACTGTTCATAGTTTACGTACTTTATTAATTTACCGTGTAAAATATTCAACAAAGCGCAAAAAATTACTGGGTTAATTATCCATACATAATGAACCCAATAACTTTTCGCGCTTTGTTGAGTCTACCCATAGTTCTACGAGTCTTTCGTCGAAGGCGATGGCAATTGTTATTCATGTAGTTCCTTTCTACTAAATGTGTTCGCAATGAAGCACGATAGTGAGTAATGTAAACTTCGAGTTTATTGAAACAGCTTATACAGTATTACCGTAGGCTTATCTAAGAGTTAGCAGTAGTGTATATATAGTAAACTTAAATCAACGCAATCTATTATAATTAATTAACGTAAGTAATAGTGTACAGATGTGTAACTAAGATTAATTATAGATAGTGAACTAGTCTAAAGCTAATATATATGGTTATATACATTTCTTTATAGTACAACGTAACACATAACACTTGAAAATCACAACACATAGAATAGTAAAATACCCGTAAATAAGAACGAATGACGATATTTACAATAGCAAATAACATAACGAATAACAAATGTAGTTTGGTTGATATTGTTATTAATGACGCTGTTGTGAGGCTGCTGCTACTGTCGATGGCGACGAGTGCAATGATGATTGTAATGTTGACGAGGATTGCGCCGTCGATGGTTGTTGACCGTTTGAGTATAGATGAGAAAGAAGCGGTGGAGCTATCAGGGGTGCCGGTACTAACGGTGAAGGATGATATTGATGATGAGAAGGATTATAAACTATCGGTAAGTGAGGAAAAGATCCTGGAACTGGAGGTAGACGAGGTACATTAGCAGTAATAGCGATCTGATTATTATTAATAATTGGTCCGTTGGTATAACCGAGACCACCTTGTTGCGTGTAAAGCGATCGCATATCGACCATCGACGAAGACCAAGAAGTACATATGATGGGACAATGTACGACTTTATCCCGCGTAAAGACAAGTCCATTCCTTAGCCTTGTCCAAGATGAGATCATACAAAATTACCATTGCGGACAGCCTGTCTGGGCACTGGGCAGGTTTGATACGGTACGAAATATAAATTTTTATATTTCGTCCCTGAGAAATTCGTCCAATATTTTCCCCTATCTACTACAGTTGGTCTAAAATAATAAGGGACTGCTAATGAGAATAAAATTTTAATCAGATGCATACGATATTTTATTACTGTCCCTTCGTTCCACCAGGTACATTATCCCGATCTTCTGAACGAATCCTAACCTGTTCTATACACACTGTTCTCCCTATGCTTGTTTGTTACTTTTATTACTTTACTATAATTGTACAAGTTTATAGATTGCAGCCAGTAGCTAAATAATTCTGTACTACTGCTCATTTAGGCTGTGCTGATACTAGTTGATATACTGTATTCAATACAGTTTATTAGAGCAATATTTTCACTGTAAGAAGATAGATTTGCATAAAATTGGCGAATCATACAATGAATAACACAATGAAAATGGATGAATACTATTCATATTAACTAGTTATGGTGTAGCTAACTATTTTAGTTTTATCTAAATACGCGTATATTTATGTATAATTATAACGTATGCTACCACCATGTTGAGGCACCATAATATGACTCAAAGCTGCAAAAATTAAATTCAGTATTATCTAAATACTTAATTGAATCTATAAAGAGTTTTTTCCCCGTTTCTTAAGTTAGAAGTGTTCACTATCTTGTACACATTCATAGCAAAGTACTATATCATAAATTACGTAATTAATACTGAATGGTTTTCAATTTATGCTACAGTAAGTCCATATTCCTTTGTCTGCTGCCACTTAATAATCTCGCACCTAGATTGTAATATCTCAATATCTATTTGATGACTTTTCAATGCGTAAGAAATAGCTTATTTTGATAATAATAACAAAGTGCTCAGAAGTAGACTTCGATACTTTTTGATCATTTTAATGATTGGAGTTCTATTTAGTGATGGACAGTCAGTTATAAACTATCCTATGATTTAAGATATTATGAATTCTGCTTGGATTGCGTTAATTTCATGCATCTGCAGGATTGTTTAAAGTACAATATTCAGATATGCAGCATGTAAGGGCACATAAAGGTAGTCATGCTGCTAAATGAATGCCGTATATTGATCTTTCCACCATAACAAAAACCGGCTATCAATACTATACCCAAGCTACAATTTTATTCAGCTTACTGTTAGTTAGAGTATAGCAAACGATAGTAGACTTATAACTGGAAAAGTAGTCGTTAATAGGCATACAAATTTATCACATTTTTTACGTATCTCAACTTTTTGAAGGTAGTAATTCGCAGTGCTGTAAATATTATACTTGCTCATTCTAGAAAAAGTATCTAATACAATAATGTGTAGCAAGTTTTTTCAATTTTACATATTAACAAACAAAGGCAATAGTAAGATAATTATATTTAGCAAAAAACAACTGGACCACATTCAATATTACCGTAGATTAAATTAGAATAAATGAATAGACTATGATCGTTTAAATTTCACTACAGGTTCACTGTCGTTATTAAAACAAAAAATTACGGAAACAAGTATATCACTTTAGGCATAATGACGTTATAGTGCAATAAAATATATCACGGAAACTATAAAAAAATTCCGTAATCAATAAACTATGCAAGATATCATTACTTAAACTAAAGTGTATCTCTAATGACATAGAAAGTTTCTCATATACTATGATTGACTAAATTTTGGTACAGGCTCACAGTCGTAAATAAAGCAAAAAACTATAGGGCAAAGTGTATCACATTAGACACAATCAAGTTACAGGCTCTTAATTACAGATTAACCACATCCTATAATCTCAATTCATCACAGTATGATGGATTATACTGCTAAATAGTAAATAACGGGTAATACGATCAACAATGAAATTATTCTATCTATACCATCTTGATTATGCGGCATGGATCAAAAAGATTGACGTTGTTGTAAGGCAATCCTTCCAGACGTTTTGGCTAGGTTAGTTATTGTATTAAATACAAATTAAACTGATTTATATTGTATGGTAGTGAAGTGCAAGGATATCGCATCAATTCAATGTAACAATAGAAAATAATGAATTTGACCCTATGCAAATAATAATTAAATTGATACAGAAATTGTTAATTGCGCCACTATTCTACAAGCTAAATCCAGA